CTGCATCATTGATGATCCGTATAGGCGAGTCCTTCCACCATCCCGATGTCCCGGGCTCTCGCTCCTCGTTTTTCCATCGACTCTCGCAGTTTCACCGTTTTCACCACGTCAATACGGTTTAGCCGTCCCCGTGTGTGATTATTCCGCGTGTGCACGCGACTCGCAGCATCCCGAATTTACGACTTCTCCGTCGGACGGTCCCTCTGTGTCGTCGGAGGATCCCTGCGTGAAGCAATTACTCTTTGTTTCGTGAGCTTACGCCATCGTCGCCATAGTAAATTAACTAAGCATTCAATTCAAAAGGAATTTCCGATTGTTCTACAACAATGATTCTTTTTACAACGTACAGTAAATTCGCGATGAGTGTTCGAAGATTCCTCGGCACAAGGAGAGGTTCCCAAGTGTAACCCTGACATTTTAATAAGGCTTAGCAGTTATTGTAATTAATTTATGAAATATTTAATATTCACTGCCCAAGAACCTTCGAATACTCATCGAGGATTCACTGTAACAGTTCCCTGCAATTAACGTAGGAGAAAAGTCTAGGTAGAGGAAATCGAAGTCGCGACGATGCTGCCCGACTAAGTTACTCGTGTAACCGAACACCACAAATGGAAAATGCAAATGGAATCAGTCTGCCAGGCGCATAATTTCGCGGACGTATCGACGCCTACCTGGACCACGTAGCAGCCGTAACTCAGTTTCGAAATGGATCGCCTCACAGGAATACTTTATGCGTGCTACACGTCATTCCTGGGCGGTTCGGAGTGACTGGGATCCTCTTTGGGTGGCCTGGGAGATGGGTGGAGATACGAGGACAAGGATCTTAGGTATTCTACGCGTGGAGAGCGGAACCGACTGCATCGGGGGTGGCTTAACACGACGTCGAACCTCCAACCAGAGGGAGGAGGATCGGGCGCGAACGGGGGACGGGAGCGACACCCCTTCTTCTAGAAGGAACTTCCGAGCAACGGGTCTGCGGGTAATCATATAAGGATGACTAGGGCCGTGGGATGGCGGACTGGGGTATCAACTTTTGATCCTTCGATATCGCGAGCGACCGGTGATCCCTTCCCAACGACGACGTCGCGTCGGTATTCAAACGTCTCTAACTCGATATAAGCGACGCTCCCCAAGGCATCCTTCCAACGACGACGAGGAGGAGGACGAGCCGAAGGACACCTATCCACTTCTAGCCCTCGACCTCCTCAGCTATACTCTCCCTCGAAATAAGAGTACCCTCTCGTGCTCGACTGGTGAATTCAATTTGCATCATGGCTTCTATTTACGGTACCTGTCCAACCCCCTACTGGAAAGCGATCTTTGAATGTTTCGCCGATAGCTGGGCAGATCTGCTATAACTGATGGCACGATACGTCGAATAGGGATTGAAACTGACGTTAGAGGTTTTTATTCAGTGTTAGCATATGGTGCTGAAGTGTCCTGGTTATGATTGATTTTGTTTTGTATATTATTGTCTGGATTTTTTGTATAGCAGAAGTATACTTTGGTTTGTAATGTAGGTTAGGGGGTTGAGTTTTAATAATCGATTGTGGAATAGCGTGGAAGTAACTTTCTCCGAGGTTCTTGTAGACTTGTTTTATATTCTTGTATGTGTATTTGGAAAGGGAGGAATCTGTCTGACTGGTAGTTGATGTACAGAAATCTATATGTCTGGATACAGGAAATGCTGGAAGCTATGCGAATATTGAGTCCATTTGCTTCAGAACTTATGACATTTCGAAACATTATCTGTTCTTATGTCTTGAAAATATTCGTGGTTCAAGGGAATTATATAAAAAATGTAGAGATGTGGAATATTTCTGGAGGGTAATAGTGTAATTAGGAGTTTAAAAATTGTATTTGAGTGTCACAAGATGGAAACACAAATGAAAATCAGAATTTCCGGTTAGTGAGTGCTTTATTCGTAAACTCTGTGCATACTTTGTGCAAGAAAACCCTCGAGCAAGCATTCAAAAATTAAATAACAAAGAATCTATTTATATTCTGCCTGAAATAACGAATAGTGGCGCCATCAAACGGTATAAGCTATATTAATGGGCTGATAAAGCAAACATTTTGTGTAGCTGGCGTCATCAAACGGTAAACACTTCGTCATTTCAGTTTTCAAAGTGGTACAATTATTATAAATTTGCGAAATATTGAAAGCTTCCTTTGTTTCAATGTCACATCAACTGCGACGCGTGTATTACTTTAGACTTTAGACAATAAAATATATTTCTAAGATTGAAATGTACATATTGTCGGAACATTGCTCTGTTTTTCTCATCTAGTTTATTGACCTAGCCTTGTACCGTAACTGTGGTTGGGTCTTTCGACGAAATTTTAGCCGGAAAAAACAATTCAACTCGAAATAATGTAAGAAAGAAACCAGATAGCCTACGTACGCCCAATACATACCTGTAACGGTCGACCTTTCGGAATTCTTCATCCCCACTCTCCAAAGGCACGCAGGGTCGAAAATTTGCAGTTAGTCTCTCGCGAACCTTCGAGGTAGTTGGATGTGCGACTCGTACTCGTCCTTTCTCTTCTTACTAATCCCTTGTATGTATAGTCATCTGACAACCATTTCCTTATTTACTTTAGATATTGTTAATTTATTTATTGTTCATTAACTTATTATTGTTGAATTTTACTAACTGTATTTTATACGTATTGTATAATTAAAAATATTTTTCCAACCATTTATTCTATTCAACGAAATCCCCGATCAACATCTAAAGCCACAAAGCGTGTACCTCTACGTTAAATTACTGTATGTTAGACATTCACTTTTTAAATCACAATTATGTAATATGTTCTAGGTAAACAATGGGAATCCATCGTCAGTATACATTGTCAAACATGTACATATTTGGCTACGTTCCTTTCCGATGCGACCGACGACGGCATCGACGACCCTTTCGAGATCCATTCCGATGGTACAAGCGGTACAAGCGTCAGTCTGAATTCGACAGTTGCACGAGCAACATTAGATCAAGTTCGAGATTTGTACGAGTAACAGAGATAAAGGATCACGCTTCCAACCTGGACTGACGCAAGCCCTTTCACTACCGTTCATTGTCCCGTAATCCAGATGCAAAATAACAACAGATTGAATCTGCCAGAGGACAACTGCAAATTATTACACACATCTATCGTATGCCACCGGTCATCAAAATTTCGGCGACAAACTTATGAAATCTTTATGAAGCTTTGAAGACGGTACGGAAGATTTGCAAGTTACAGAGGAGGGAATTATTTGCGGCATATACGTTACAATATTTTGTAAGCCTGAATAATATCTAAGCCTACTTCTTCTGAATTTATATAAATATCATAACAAGTATATTGTAAAATCATATAGATAAGTAGGATTTAAGTAAAATAAGTATCTAAGGGCACTTTCATTGAATCTGTACAATTATTATTATAAATATATTGTAAAATCATGTATGTAAGTAGTACTTAAAGCAATTGTTGTTAAATTTATAGAAATAATACTGTAAATTGTAAATTTTCATAAGATTTTTTCAATAAAAACCAGTCAAATCATACATACGCGTAATTCATTAATCCCAGAACTATCTCCTATTCCTAAATGTCGCCCTGTTGGGGCCTAGAGACCCCCACAACCGTATAGTTCCCCGCCATCTTGGATTTTGAAAAAGCGCGGGAAAAATTGGGTTTCATGGGACATGCTAGTGGCGCCACCAAAAAAGTGGGTGGCGAAAGTTGGAACTAAATCTAAAACTTCTTAAGCAGCGCCATCTGGTGGCGACTCTGCGAACTATCGAAGAAGTTCTAGATTTAGTTCCAACTTTCGCCACCCACTTTTTTGGTGGCGCCACTAGTATGTCCCATGAATCCCAATTTTTCCCGCGCTTTTTCAAAATCTAAGATGGCGGAAAATCATGCAGTACGGTGGCGCCCCCACAAACAGTGGGTGGCGAAAGTTGGAACTAAATCCAGAACTTCTTCGATAGTTCGCAGAGTCGCCACCAGATGGCGCTGCTTAAAAAGTTTTAGAATTGGTTCCAACTTTCGCCACCCACTTTTTTGGTGGCGCCACTAGTATGTCCCATGAATCCCAATTTTTCCCGCGCTTTTTCAAAATCCAAGATGGCGGAAAAACTATACGTTTGTGGGGGTCTCTAGGCCCCAACAGGGCGTTATTTATCAATAGGAGATAGTTCTGGGATTAATGAATAACGCATATGTATGATTTGACTGGTTTTTATTGAAAAAATCGTACGAAAATATACAATTTACAATAATTTTTGTGTGAATATAACAATAATTGCCTTAAATACTACTTATATATACGATTTTACAATATATTTATAGTAATATTTGTATAAATTCAGTAAAAGTAGACTTAAGTATGATGTAGACTTTTATAATAGTGTAATTTGTTCCCCGCTAGCAATATTCACCTCTGTAATTTGCAAGTCTTGCGTCTGATCTTCAAAGTTTCATACAGTTTTCGTAGGTTCATCGGTATAATTGTCCTTTGTGGCGGCATACGATAGATATGTTTAATAAATTGCAGTGTTCCTTTATCCGATTCTGTTGACCATGTAATAACTGCAGCAACAATGGTAGTTCCTGTAGATATTACTGTGTTCCAAGAGGTTACTGTATGCTGCACATTTTACATGAACCACTTAAAGTCTTCGTTAAAGTCTTCGAAGGAATCAAAGTAATCTTTAAATTCATAAATCTTGCATCATTTTCATATATCCAAATCATGATATGGTGAATAAATATGTGAAAATATAAATGGTTATAAAATGGCTAAATGGTTCAGTATTTAAGTGAATTGAAAGAGGGAGATAATTTTCCACAAATAAGACTCGTGTTTATCTCGATACACAGGGGGAAACGATATTCAAAATAAGAACGCGTCTCATATTTACATGTTTATTGTTCTCAATATTTTTCCCAACACCATACACCGGAATTAGAGTTTAAGTGTATTTAATTCATAGATGCCATTGCTAATTCTCCTGAGGACCCACGGCCTCGTATCCAGTCCTTTTCTTTCGTCTCCATATTTCGTTATCGATACTAATAATACGTTAATAGTATTAATTCTTATTTAAATTTGTTTAATTCTTTCTTAAACTTACTCATCTGCCTCCTCGGTGTATCCAGCTAGAGTTCGCCAAAGCTTCTGCGAACCTCCAATTCGCAGTGGAAAGTCTTGCCAAGTGCGAGCATCTAATAACAACGATTGAATAATATAATTATAAAAAGATAAATGCTTGAATTAAATTATCTGAAAATGAACTAGAAATTTATTTAAGTATGTATAATCTTATCACTATAAGAAATGAATTAGGTATAAGTTTTGTTGAGATTTGTCGAAGTTAACTTTTGAACAGTAGTTTTATAATTACTGAATTGAAATACGTGGCAAGCAATCATAATAAATTCTCTTACCATCATCCGATGGGTACTCCATGCGTCTTTTTATCGGACCAGGAAAAGGATCCCCGTTACCATAAGACTGCCAAGATTCAGGCTTGTAAAAATAAGACGATTTGTGTTCAATAATAACATGAAAGGCAATTTCATTATTTTATTTATAAATACCTGGGCTCCGTTGGCACGTCCTTCAATTTTAGGAACGTTCTTACGGGATTTCAGGAGTAGATCCTCGTAACCGTCGCTTCGACCCACACGAGGTATATTCTTTGCTATTTTCAAGAAGAATGCTGGAACTTCATCAGCTTTGGAAACGTTTTGCGATATTAACAGGGCGAAAACTCCGACAAGGAGAACTGTAACACAATTCACGCAAATACACATTTGTGTTTGTCAAAACAATTTTCCACTATCTATAGGAGATCTAAATACAAACATACAGTACTGTAATCTAACAAAACTATGTTCCCCGTCATTTGAAATTTAAGTACCTTTCGATAAATATAATTTAACGAAAACATTTATATAATACTTTCATAGAAAATATTTTTAATAGTAATTTTAAGTACAAAGAAATGGTACTTATTTATAATAACTCTTACTCTATACCTAACAAAAGTCTGAACTTTACAAAAATAAAAACACCAATTTATTACTTCTTAAAATAAACCACCGTGAGTAATTAAACTAACAATTACAAAAAATTCACAAGTGAAACTCACCGCTAACGACGAAACTTCGCCTAGATCCCGAAGATCCTAATAGGGGCATCATGGTCCTCGTCTTGTTCAATCTGCAAACGAATCAATCACCACCATTCAATTCGTCGACAAACGCATTCACTTCACGACACACGGAAATTCCGAAAAAAAGCGGGACACAGGTAATCGTAATTGTTTCAGCTTTATCTGACGGTCAAATTCGTTCGCTGAACCATCGCCATCCTCGGCTCGAGGGAAGATCTACCGATCGACAGCCAGGTAGTTTCGCGACTGACGACGCGTGGCGACACGCGTTCCACGGTCGTACAGAGGATACTGAGCGATTTTCCTAGGACTTCTTCCATTACCGCCAAGAGTGGACAGAAAATACTTGAAAATCGTGGGCGAGAGGGAGCGGAGTTTGCACGCCGAAGCCCCGTAACATATTTAAATGTTCCGGATGTTTGCCCGGGCATTTGCGACCACGCGTGAAAATCCCCCCTTTTCATAAACGCGGATAAACCCCATTTTCCGTTGTTCGATCGTCGAATTTCACGAAAGATCCTGGGAGAATGTTCGATTTCAAATTTTCTATCATCTTTGTTTCTCGTTTTTTGCTCCAATAATCTGTATTTGAGAGTTCCCGATACTCAACGTTCTACTGTATAGGGTAAATTCAGGAGAGACGCCACCAATTTTGGTTGAGAATTAATAACTATTTTGGTTTCGTACTAATTAATACGATCTTTTTTTCATTATAATAACACACTCACATACCACGAAGAAATATTAAACAATTCTAAATTTTACTCACGCAAGATCAACAAAAATTTTTATAAATGACAGGTCGGCTAAGCGAATTTCACTTTCTTATATTTTTTCCTATTATATATATTCGCTCTCCAACAGTTGCTGTATTGTAGGACATACAGCAGTATTTTGATCCAGTCAATTGTCTGTTTGGTAAGAAAATAATTTTCCCATCACTCTATGGAATATTATATTTGTAATTTAAAATTATATTTCGACAAAAACACTGTGTTTACCGATTAACAAGGAATCATATTAAACAATAAAAAAGGTACGAACTTTGTCCTGTCTCCGGTACTATTCTCCGGTGTATTCGCGTATATAGGTGTGCGATGGAGGGAAGCCAGTTAAACATAAAAGCGAGAAAATTGAAACATGATTTCCTGACCTGTACTCACCTTGCCGCGTGTGATCACGATACAGTGACGATGGGTCGACTAGTTCCCTATTTATGGTCGAATCAACGATTAATTGAGTATTTCGATCGCGTCGATGCTGTGAATCGGGGACTTGTTGCTCCCCTATGACGACGAATAAATTATTATCGTCATACGAAAGCTGCTGAAAAATTATTGTCGTGGAGGGAATCGGTTTCGGATGGTTGAGTATGTTTAGATAACTCGGAGGGAAAAGGGACCATTTTCTTTGGGTCACTCAACAATTTTTTATCCGTATTTACGTGTTGAGTGTAATGTTAGTCTCATGGTTGTTACATGAACAATAAGTATGTGGAGAATTTCAATGTCTCTAGTAAGCAGTATGTATTTAATAGAATTTACTATACTAGTGAGAAGATATCAAATAATTAAAATCATCTGGGAAACGTTCCGGCTGCTATATTTGTACAAATGATGATATTAAATATAACAGACAATGTATAACATGTCTAAGAGATGTATGTAAATAAAATGTAATGAAAGAAAATAATATTTTATGTACTGTATATATATATATAAAGGAAATAAATGGTATATATATTTGTAAAATGTTTACATTTTTTTTAACACATTCCCTTCCTCTTTATATTGTAAGCATTATAATATTTTCTATCAAAAAGCTGGCTCTGAAGTGTGTATAATGAAAATTTTTGTATGGGTCAAGAGTGAGCCAGTGGTTCGAGGGTTAATAATTGTTATCGATTTCTAAATTGAAGGAAATTATGGTTTAACACTGCAGATTGTATGATTGTATTGTAAAAAAAATGTATTTCTAGGTTTATTGAAGTGTTTTACAAAGATATCGATAGAAACGTCAATTATTTTACCGTTTATTTGTTACGAAACGCTTTTTGGACCACGTAAAAGGGGCATTATAACCCTTATCCGGGTAGTTGAATGAAACGTGCTTTCCATATCAAACCGGTCGATCTACATTTCATATATCGGAAAAGGTTTCGTTGAACTTCTGCTTGGCATCGAGAATGATTCGGATTCGAATATTCTTTTCAACGAATCATAAGATTTTCTTGGACACTCTACACTTGTGTGTTTCACTAATTATTGTATAAAATGATAAGATATACATTTAAATTAAAATGAAAAATACAATTCATATAAAAGTTGAAAAGAAAACAATTTGAGTAATATTTTCTGTAAGATGATCCTTTAAATACCTTTATTCTTCATAGTTCAATTAAAGGAATGCCTAAGAACCAAGTTAATTTAACGTTCTTTAGACATCCAAGGATAATTGAACTGAAATAAAGAAGCGAATGGTGTCAAGTCAATTTTACAAAGTGTGACATTTTATTATATGGAAAATTTTACAATGCAGTATCGATCAATCGAAGCCTCTGTCAATTGATTATACAAGGACGAGTGATTTGGACGACGCGACGAGTCAGAGAGCGGCGAATCGATAAATGAGGAATTTGCGTAGCTCGGTTGGCGTGTTATTAGACGTTGATAAGGCGATTAAGCATTTGGTAGCGTTTGACGTATCGAGATCGTGCCTGGTCGGTTTAGTACCCTCAGTTGGAATCCTGACGAGCGGCCCAGGCGTTGCAGGTATCGGTGACGGCCTCACAGATCGATGACATTGCTCGGCTGGTTATTTCGTAATCTTCGAAATATGACAAACGCGAAAGGTTTGATAAATTAATCGACGAATCAGAAGAGACTATAGAATTCTGAATGAAATTAAAAGACACTTATAGAATTTAGAGACAATGCTGACAACGTGGATAATTTTTGTAATAGATTAATGAAAATCAAATCTGAAGAAACTACAGAATTTTTTATGAAAGCAGAGGTAATAAATGAAGATATTATTTTAGTTAAAATAAAGTCTTTGGTATAAAATCTTTAATCGAAGTAGATCCAATTGGACTTGATCAGAGGAATAATATTAAATAAACGTTCTTTTCAATATTAAAGGAGTTAATTGACCTACCAGTGATAGTATTGGATCGCTTGCCAAAAATGCTACCATTAAACGGCGGCTTCCTATAGGCAGCGTCGACGCTGATGGCGAGGACGAAGAGAGCAGCGACGATGGCAAGAATGAGGCGTGTGGACACCATTTTGATGAGTTTGGTTTTGGGTTTGCTTGAAAGAAAATTAGAATTTTTCAGTAATACACAACAATTATATAGAAACAGAGCAGTGTCGAGAAGACTAGAATTGTGACTGTTCCCAAAGTCTCTAGGTCTTGAAATAAAGAAACTTGAAAGTTCACTATAAAAGTGACCACGTTACTTACAGACGTAGAGAGCCCTGAGTATTGTACGGTGGTTGATGGAAGAATGTTGTAAATAAGGTAAAAGTCTCGAGCTTTTATACGGTAGGAAAGAGCGAAAGACAAATGTCGCCGTCAAACCCAGATGCTCCACATTATTTGCAACTGTACTCGTCAAGGAGTTCGTCTAAGACGATATTGATTCTTCGAAATCCGAATATAGGGGATGTTCTTTGCGGAAGTAGATACAAGTGAAACGAAAGAATTGATTTCTTTATGAAAAAATTATTTTGCAAACAATATTCTTACAGGCGTATATGAAGTAAATGTAAGCTACCTATCGACACTGTGACTCTGACGGTACCTGAAAGCTTGAGCTGTCTTCTCCAACGAAAGGATGGAACTGTTCTGCTGTTACCGGAAGACAGCTCAGCTTTTATAAGACGCCGACCACAGCACGTTATATGTGGTGTAATATTGTTATAAGGTAATATTACAAGCAATCACGAACGTAAACTAATTACGGGTGGTCCTGATTGTCTTTTGTCCCAGGGGAAATAATGATCTATCTACGATGAGAGAGCAGGATACCTTAACCAATGAAGAGCTGAATATTAGAATTACATATGGTTGTTAAAAGAATATATAATAATTTTCGTTTGTGGAATGGTTAGTTGATTATTTAATTTACATTCTTTATACTAGATAAGGTGTTCGTAAATCGTTTTGTGTGCTTTAAATCAAATTCAATTACTGTATTTCCCCTATGAACAAGCAGAATTATATATAAACTGGAGTTTTAATTTTGTTAGACAATAAATGAAAATTGATATCTTAACAATTGCTTCGACAGTGACTTGGTCATCTGCTGATCAAAATTTCTACTGTATCTATCATTTGATGGTACGTACTGTGCCAATATAGTATGTATTTTCAAGATCTATAGCTGTTAAATACTCGACTGACATTTTACAGTAGATAAAATCATCGATTAATATCTAGTCGGTGGTAGTAGCTTGGTAAGAGGGGTCATAGAACCCCCAGAGCATACGTAAGAGATCCCGTGTGTGGGGAGTGGGGTCATAGAACCCCCACAGGTGGCGCCACAGACCTCGTGTGTAGAGAGTGTGGGGCCACAGAACCCCCAGACGTGGCGCCACGGACTCCATGGGGTGAGAGCGTGGGGTCATAGAACCCCCCGTGGAGAGAACGTGGAGTCACAGAATCCCCACAGATGGCGCCACAGACCTGTGTGGTGAGCGCGTAGGGTCAGAGGACCCCCACAGGTGGCGCCACAGACCCCGTGGGGCGAGGGCGTAGGGTCATAGAGCCCCCGGTGGAGGCGCCAGAGACACCATGAGTGTGAGGAAATGAGATCATAGAACCCCCGGAGGATGCACAAGAATTTTGAAACGTGATCCTTTATCATTGTTGCTCGTACGTATCTCGAGCTCTGTCTAATGTTGCTCGTGCAACTGTCGAAATCTAACTGACACTTGTACGTGCTTCCGTGAACAAATTATATACACTGTGTGTAAAAAGTATTCGTACACCCTTTAAAACGGAACAACTCTTTTAAAATTG